GGCAGTGCCCGTCCCCCTTCAAGGACAGTGAGGCGGCTGGGTACTCAACAGCCAGTTGCTGAGGTACGTACTGTGGTTCAGCTGGAAGGAGCCGATGTTCTGGCAGTTGTTGACACTGGCAGTGTGAACAGTCTTCTGAGTGACGAGTTGGCGTCTTCCCTGCACTTGAAGGTGGAACCAGCAGTGGATCGCTTCATTGCAGCCAATGGGACTGTCGTGACTACAGTTGGGAGGTCACAAGTCTGTGTCAACATCGGTGATGTGGAAGCCGTGTCCAGCTTCGTGGTGGTTCGTGACCTCACAGATCCAGCTCTGCTGGGAATGGACATTCTGCAGAAGGTGGGGGCTACTATTGAGTGTGCCTCTCGCAGCCTGGTGGTGGGTGGCAGGAAAATCAACACTGAGCTGCCCATCAAAACAAGAAATCAAGTCTCCTGTGCTGCTAGGTCGGAAACCTTCATCAACATCAGGCGGGTGGCAGCAGAGAAACCTGTCCTCTTCTGCCCAGAAGAAGTTGAAGGAGTGAGTGTGGCATCTGCAGTGCACCTGGCTCACAAGGGCGTTCCAGTCCGGATCCTGAACCTGAGTGAGGAGAAGGTGATCATCCCTGCAGGCACGGTGCTGGGGACTCAGGAGAGCATCACCGAGTGGAAGCCGCTGGAGGAACCTGAGGAGGAGACAGACCGAAGCCGGGACCCGAAGCTGCCATCCGTGGACCATCTGGATCCAGACGACAGGACCCTGTTCCACGAGTTACTGCAGGAGTACAGTGATGTGTTCTCCCAGTCACCTGAGGACATCGGAGACTACAAGGGGGGTCATCAGCTGGTCATCAACACCATTGGGAAGGAACCTGTTCGTCAACGAGCCTACCGCACACCTCTCCATCTTCGAGAGCTACTGAAAGAGAGACTGGACGCTCTGCAAGAACAGGGTGTCATCGAAGACTCTACGTCACCCTGGTCTTCACCCATCGTGATGATCAAGAAGAAAGATGGTGGCGTGAGGATCTGCTGTGACTACAGAGCCGTGAACGCCGTCATCAAGCACGACTCCTATCCTCTGCCGAGGATTGAAGATCTACTGCATGCTACAAGAAGGGCCAGAGTCTACTCTGTACTGGATCAACGATCTGCCTACTGGGCTGTACCCATCGCGCCTGAGTCCAGAGAGGTTACTGCATTCATCTCCGAGTATGGCCTCAAGCAGTGGACGCGTCAGCCGTTCGGGCTCAAGACGAGCCCTGGGATGTTCCAGCGGATAATGGAAGACGTACTGGAAGGCCTCAACTGGGAGACAGCAGTGGTGTATCTCGACGACGTCATCGTCTACAGCCCTTCCATGGGAGAGCACCTGACTGCGCTGAAACAGGTGCTGGTCCGGTTCCGACAGGCAGGACTGAAGCTGCATCCTGACAAGTGCCAGGTGGCTGTCAAGAAGGTCGACTTCTTGGGGCACCAGCTGGACGAGACGGGGATCCGGCCAACAGAGAGCAAAGTGGAAGCGGTGAAGCACTGGCCGCGACCGAGCAACCTGCAAGAAGTTCGTCGGTTCCTCGGAATGGTAGGGTACTATCGACAGTACATACCACGTTTTGCGGACAAGTCGGTGCATCTGACGAACCTACTTCAAAAGGAGACGCCGTGGAAGTGGACGGGTGAATGCGAAGAGGAGTTCCAGAACCTGAAGAAAGATCTTCAGTGGTATCCGGTCCTGCAGAGCCCAGACCCTGCAGACGACTTCGTGCTCACCACCGACGCGAGCGGCACAGGCTGGGGTGCTGAGCTAGGCCAGTCTACTGGTGTAGTGGCCTTCGCCTCTGGGAAGTGGACCCCAACGGAGAAGAACTGGAGCGTCACCGAGCGCGAGCTGGGTGCAGTGGTGAAAGCCACGTCCAAGTTCCATCACTACCTGGTGGGCAAGCCGTTCCTGCTGCGGACTGACCACGAGGCTCTGAAGTACTTGCAGCGCTCGAAGTGCCCATCCGGTCGACTGTTCAGGTGGATCGAGCAGCTGCAGCAGTACGACTACACCGTGGAACACGTGCCGGGACGCCAGATTCCACACGTGGACGCGCTGTCTCGCGTGTTCGAGATGGGCGCAGGGAAGCAGCAGCTGCGTCCGACGGCACCAGAGTTCGTACCGAGGGGAGGTGCGGCCGAAACTCCAGGGGACAACACTTCCAGGACTCCGGAGGAAGGCGTGTCCAGGACGCAGGACAGCGTTTCCAGATGTCTGGAGAGCGACGTGGACCAGACTGCGGAGAGCGGTGTGTTCCAGACTCTGGAGGAGGACACGGTGGCGACTCTAGTGGGAAGTGCGACGAAAGTGCAAGAAGGAGGTGTGTCTGTCTCTACAACTTCACAGGGAGTCAAGTCGAAAACGGCCGAGGGAGACGTGTCTGCGACTTCGGAGCGGTACGTCCGCCGCTCTACATTGAAGACCCAAGAAACAGCGGAAGACAACAGCAGCGAGACTGCTGAAGACGGCTTGGACGTTCACCTGCTGGGCGACCTGATTGCTGCAACTCGGACAGATCCTGTGCTGTGGCAGCTCATCCAGCATCTGAAGAAACAAGAAGTGAAGACGGACAAGTTGACAGAGGACGAGAAAGCTGAACTGAGGTTCTACACGAGGCTACCAGATCTGCGGCTGTACAACGGCATCATCCGGCGGAGTTCAAGAGGACATCAGCGGCCTCAGGTGATTCTGCCGACAAGTCAGAGACAACGTGCGCTACAACTGGCTCACGATGTTCCGATGGCGGGGCATGGAGGCGTCAGGCGGACTCTTCACCGCCTAACAGCCGGGTTTTTCTGGTACAACATGCAGCGTGAAGTGAGGCGGTACTGCAGAAACTGCTCATCCTGTCAGAAGACCAAACCGAAGTACACGGGCTGCTTGGAAGGTCGAGGAACCATCCCGGTGGAGGGAGAACCGTTTCTTCACTGGTCTGCAGACATCTTGGAGCTCCCTGAAAGTGAAAGTGGACACAAGTATGTGCTGGTGATGACTGACCTTTTCAGCAAGTGGATTGAGACTTTTCCTCTCAAGAGACAGACCGCTGAGGATGTGGCGCGGTGTCTGTTACAGGTCATCAGTCGCTTCGGTGTCATGAAGAGTCTTCTAACCGATCAGGGGCGAAACTTCGAGTGCGCTCTGATCAAAGGAGTATGCCAAATGCTCGGAGTGAAGAAACTGAGGACGACCATATACCACCCAAGCTGCAACGGGCAAGTTGAGCGGGTCAACAGGTCGCTGCTGGAGCTGCTGACTCACTACGTCAGGGAAGACCAGCGCGACTGGGACCAGTGGCTGTCGGTGGTCACGTCTGCCTACAACTCGAGCTGTCACAGCGCCACAGGTTTCTCGCCATGTGAGCTGGTCTACGGAAGATCGATCAAAACCATACTGGATGACGAGTTCAGCGTTGAAAATGTGAAGAACCAAACTCATCGCCAGTTCCTGCTGAAGCTGAGAAATCGGATGAAGCAAACTCAACAGCAAGCCCTGGAGCAGATCCAGAAAGAGCAGAGTCTAAGGACAACCACAAGACCGGCGACGTTCCAACCAGGTGACACAGTTTGGTGTCGGAACTTCACGGCAGGAAAAGGAGTAGGAGCCAAGCTCAAGCCGAAGTTCGAGGGCCCATACGTCGTAGTGGACACTCGACCCCCAGACTACGTGGTGAAGAAGGGACGGAAGCGACGACTCATCCATGGCTGTCATCTGAAGACAGGAGTACAGCAGACGACGGGTCGTGACGTAGCAGTCGAAGAGGACGAAGGAGGGAGCGACATAGAGAGGCAGTCGCCTGTCACTGAGGCGACTACTGGTGGACGACCAGTGGAGTGGACGCCCGGTGGATGGCAGCCGGCGCGGGCGGCTGACGAGCAGCTGCCGATGACGGAGACGGCGGCTGACGAGCAGCTGCCGATGGCGGCTGGAGGACGACCGGCGGCGGCTGACGAGCAGCTGCCGATGACAGAGACGGCGGCTGACGAGCAGCTGCCGATGACAGAGACGGCGACTGACGAGCAGCTGCCGATGACGGAGACGGCCGCTGACGAGCAGCTGCCGATGGCGGAGACGGCGGCTGACGAGCGGCTGCCGATGGCGGAGACGGCGGCTGACGAGCGGCTGCCGATGGCGGAGACGGCGGCTGACGAGCGGCTGCCGATGGCGGCTGGAGGACGACCGGCAGCGGCTGGAGGACAGCTGCTAATGACGGGGGCGATGCCTGGCGAGCAGCTGCCCGTGACGGAGCTGATGGCTGTTGGACGGCGGCCGACAGCACTGACGGCGGCTGAGGGGCTGCCGGTGACGACCGACGAGCAGCGACGGTCTGTTGCGGTGGTGAACGGTTCACACCAATTGGTGAGTGAGAGTGGACAGACAGTGGCACCATCTGTGCCAAGGACAGGGGCACTATCGGGGCCGACGACAGTGGCACCAGCTGTGCAGCCGACAGTGGCGCCATCTGATGCGAGCGGGACTCCGACGGGTGGTTCGAGAGTGTTTACTCGTTCAGGGCGTGAAGTGCGACGTCCGGCGCGATTCCTGGACTGATCGTGTGCAGAGAGTGTTTGGAGCGTTACTCCTTGTCCATACTCCCTGTTATAAGTGTCTCGTGTACTCTGCTTGTTTGCGGTGACGATGACGAGTGACTCGTTGGTTAACAGCTTAGAGGAGTTACTTTTGGACGTGAGTCCGGTTTAAGGAGAGGGGAGTGTAACGATAGAGACATAGTTTGTCGGTCTCCGGAAAGGGTTTTGTCGATATGGCCGCATTTGGCAGCGCGTGCGCCATTATTTTGTGTTGGTGCGCCATGGTTGTGGCGGTTGAGCGGCGTGGACGGGGCGTGGCCCGATGGAACTGTTGTGGGACGACGATTTCGAAAATAAAAACGAAAAAGGATTACGTGAAGACGTAACACATATAAGGCGCAAATGGCGCATCTGTTTCAATGCGATCTTGACGAACTCCATGCATTAAATGCAGGCAAATGCAGGCTGCAATGCTGCAATTGCAATGTGGTCAGTCAGTTCTCTATATACCGTGAATGTGGTTCAGCTTGGCACGTGTACGGTGCATTAAAACTGCTTTTGTATGGCTTATAAATCCAAGGATTCTGATGTCATTGTCAATGTGCACATTTTGATCTTCGGGTAACTTTTGCAAGGATTGCATCATCATTCACCTTGACCTTTCTGCAGGTGAGCACATGAGATGAGATAAATATTTTTGTTGAAGGGAAAACCCCTTTTGCTCTTGTCCACATGATCAATCTGCTGAAATTGATATTTATTTTCTTGAGGACTGATCACCAATTTACTTTTGGTGTGATCCCCTGTCCCCAAGTAAGAAGCAAATCACACGATATCCTCTGACCTGTGTGGTGTTTCACCGGTGATAGCAGCACGCGGCTATTCTGCTGATGTCACACTTGTGATAGTGTGGGAGCAATGGGCTTGTTGACATCGCCATGGAAACCCAGTTTGACACGTGTTGAAGCAGCGTGCTGCTATCACCGGTGAAACCGGGCCCTGATTTCATATCTGATAATTGAAATAAAAAAGTGTAGAATTAACAGGGCTACAAAACTGCCATTTCAGATTCTAAAAAAAAAATCGATTTTGACCTACAAAATTCAAAAAAGTGATTTTTTATATAATTCCCCAGAAATCACAAAATTTTTATTTTTTAAAACTAGTGTAGGTATATGTTTTAAAACTATTGGTTTGCTATTAAAATGCCAAATATGAGCTCGACAGCTCTATTTTTGGCAAAGTTATGGCAAAACACTGCTCAAAGTTTATTGAATCAAATTTTCAAACTCATTTTTCAGCAGTTATAGACCAAGTAGCTTAGAACGAAGACCATCATTGGAACCCGCGATGAGCTGCATCTAATAGATACCCCTTTTATGCCAAAAATATTAACTTTAAAATTCAATTTTTTGACCTGACCTTAAACTGACCTCTACCAGAATGCATCCTTAACAGGCTCCAATTATAGTCGTCTTACCCACACCATTGAATTTGAAATGCAAAATCAGTCATAAAATGTGTATAACATGACCCTATAGTTGGGTTCATGTTGTGACCCTTAGTGACCTGACCTCTGTGACCTGACCTGGCATCAGTGACCTCATTAAGCAACATATGTATTAGGCAACTAACGCAGACAACACTCTATCGATGATTTTCGATGCATGCCTTTTTGCGATGTTATAACGCATTCCTTAGAAGGCCCGTAATCGATGAATAATGTGACCTTTGACCTGACCTGTAACGTCGTCGGTGGCACCCAGACTGGAAAAATACACGTTATGCCGAATATGTCCGGTGTAGTGGCGGGATTGCGCCGAAAATTTCAGCGCACGTCCGGCGTAACTTCGCATTCGCCGAATTCAGCGCATGGCGGCGGACGAATTTTTCGGCGCAGGGCGGTCGCATAATTTTTTGGCGAAAGACGGTCACCGAATTTATGCGGTACGCTGGTCAATCTAGCACTTAGCAGCAGATTCGCCCCGCGGGCGGCTCTGGAGAGGTTGCGGGACGAGACGTCCCCGCACCGGTCGCCGTGTGCTCGAACTGGCGAGCCGCCCCGAGTCTACTCAGCGGAGGAATGGCCGCCCAGGTGAGGCCTCAACCTTCGGCGTAGAGATAGGTATGGACAACCTTGTTAAACGTTGTCAAGCGTCGTTAAGCAATAGCAGTGGGTTCCTGCCCACTGCAGTATCGAGAGGAATGAGAGTGCGGACGACCTGGCAAAACAGGCGGCTGCCCTGCCCTCAAACGCCCGATCGCTGACCAGGGCGGTTCATTGTGCGGCCTCGCATCAGTGGCGCGACAACTGCTCAGAATCACTATTCAAGCCACTCCTCGGGAGCACACCGCCGCTCCCTATCCCCGGAGAGGACCGAGAGGATGCCATTTCGGTGCACCAGATGAGGGCGGGCCACGGGGGCCGCTCGCTCCAGTACAGCAGCGAATCGGCTGTCTCCACTCCACCGCGTGCCAGCAGTGCCCAGACAAGCGGTGCCCAGCGGCGCTCTGCACCGTGAGCCGAGAAGAGGCTGATGTGCCGGAGCAGGTGCTGCTCCGCTGCCCGGCCCTCGCTGGCTCCCGCCGAGGTATTGGGTTTACGTGGAAATAAAAACTCATTCGAACGCTTAAAGGGACTATCCCACCTTCTAAAATGTTGTTAAAACCAGTTAAATTGTGCCCGACATTATAGAGTGGATGACCAGGAACACGGTTCTGGCATTTATTTTTCATTAAACATCTTAGGCTTCCCATATTCCAAACACAAACTTTCAAATATGTGACGTCACAGCCCAAAATTACCTCCTTCCCCAGGCCACATTACTGTCATAAAGCTGATTCTTTTTACTCTGTAGGCACCACAACAAAGTTCAGACCAAGTTTTAAGCGATTTTTCAACGAACAAACCCATTTAAATCAGAATGACTAAACGAGGTGACGTCACACTAACGGTCGCTCCATGTTGAAGATGGGGCCTTGTACAAGGCCCATTTTCAAATGAAGGGAACGAATTTCTTCAACACCAAGAGGCCGCGGGGGTTGTAACCTAGATAGATAGTGGTTTCTGAACCTCGCCGCAAACTTGGCTATCTCAACTCAAACCCCATGTTAAAGGTGGGATAGTCACTTTAAACATGGGAGAGCGTACAAGGCCCCGAAACACTGTCTGGTTGATAATTGATATAGCCTTGATCAGTAGATGTGCACATGTGCTTTTTATGAAAAGGGCTTAATTTTCGCACAAATAGACATCTAATTTTTGGCGCAAATCACGCAGAAATTTCGGCGCAAAATCGCATCCGCCGAATTTCGGCGCAAAATCGCATCCGCCGAATTTCGGCGCAAGAGGGTCTCACGGGCGTCCGGCGTAGTGTATGGATGTTTTCCAGTCTGGGGTGGCACCTACTATGGACGTGAAACCCCAGTTGAGACCCCACTTTATTTGCGATAATTTTTAAATGCGTTAACTCTCGTTGACGATATTCTGGCAATGTGTTTCAGAACCTGCCGAAACTTTTATTACTAAGGTATTTTGACGCCAAACGAGTATGAAAGGTATTTCTCATTGTTCCACGACAAATCGACAAATAAAAAATTAAATTTGCACCCACATATTTTATTCTTCGTTGAAAACTGGTGTAATAGGCTGTGATGGGCGGGGAAGCCAGCTGTGGGAAGGATTTTTTTCTTCGAACAACGGTTTCCGAGATATGGCCTCGGGCAATTCCTGGAGGTCACGCTGCAACCCTATGTTTAGCGGCTTATAACTCAGAAACTATTGTTTTTTATGATAAAAACTTTATATAGTTCAACTCACAATCAACCAACAAACATTTTGGCTATCTCGGATTTTCAATTTTTGAAAATTTTGGTCACGTGACCTTTTGACCTATTTTTCAAAGAGTGACCTTGATATTTTCCCCACTGAAAGTTGCAATTTTGACTGATGACGATTAAAGCCTTATCAATTGTCAGTCATATGCGATAATAAAAAAGTGGCCATCGCCCTGCGTTGACCTCATGTCAGGTCATTTTTATGACCTGTCCATTAATACGAGAGGGAGCGACAGCGAGATCTCGAGAACAAAGCAAGATTGCGACAAGTGGTAAACGGTACAGGGTACACACGGATAAGGTCTACAATTATTACTGAGGTCATTTTCAGGTCAGGTCAAAGATGACGTCACAGGGGCAAAAAGGAAGTCAAAATGGCGGCACTACATATGAAGTTTTTCTCGAATAACTTCAAGGTATCCCAGCTAGGAGCAAACTAATAGCACCATCGTGATCTTCTCGTCGATCCGCATCGAACCATATGTATGTTGACCTCGAAAGGTCAAGGTCAAAAGTTGACCTTAGGTCACGTGACCTAAGGTCATCATATATATCATTCGATGCGCCTTGACGAGCTGAGCACAATGAGTCCACCCGCGCATCTGTATCTCAAACCTGTAAGGAGTTATTAGCAAAAAAAAAACTTTGGTGACCTGTAATGATGTCACATGACCTTACAGTTGCCCAACAGCAAAACAGACCTCAAGGTAGGCAAAGTTGGTCCTATATGAAGTCAGTAGTCACTCATGGTATATTAGGCGATTCCGACGTGTTTTAGTTTAAAAGTAAGCGAGCCGATTTTTCCCCAATTGACTTTTAATGGGATGGTCAAGAAATTGACCTGACCTTAGGTCATCGATATCGAAATTCGAAGCGAACTGGCGCTAGGCCAAAGCAAACACAATGGTGCCTGTTCCACGTCTCTTTTTTTATTAGATCAAAAGGTAGAGCCAAAACTATTTTGACTTCCTTTTTACCCCTGTGACGTCATCTTTGACCTGACCTGAAAATGACCTCGGTAAAAATTGTAGACATAATCCGTGTGAATCCCGTACCGTTTACGGCTTGTCGCTCTCTTGCTTTATTCTCGACCCGCTCGTAATAATGGACATGTCATAAAAATGACCTGACCTGAGGTCAACGCAGGGCGATAGCCACTTTTTTATTCTCGCATATGAATGACAATTGATAAGGCTTTAATCGCCATCAGACAAAATTGCAACTTTCAGTGGGGAAAATATCAAGGTCACTCTTCGAAAAATAGGTCAAAAGATCACGTGATCAAAATTTTCAAAAATTGAAAATCAGAGACAGCCAAAATGTTTGTTGGTTGATTGTGAGTTGAACCATATAAAGTTTTTATCGTAGAAAACCAATAGTTTCTGAGTTATAGGCCGCCAAACATAGGGCTGCAGCGCGACCTCCAGGAATTGCCCGAGGCTATATCTCGGAAACCGTTGTTCGAAGAAAAAAAAAATTCTTGCCACAGCTGGCTTCCCCGCCCATCACAACCCATTACACCAATTTTAAGCAAAACATAAAATATGAGGGTGCAGGGCACTTGTCAGTTGTCGATTTGTCGTGGAAATTCACTCGTAATGTTAAATTTCACGGAACGAATCTGCTGATTGGGTAAAGGCTACGCGCTCATGGGGCGGAGCCACGTAATGACATCAGCGCTATGCTCCGCCCTACCCCTCCGGCGCTCCTTAACCCGGCAGGTGGTGGGCCTCCCGGCCACCTTCCGCGCGGTGGGGGGGGGGGCATTTTTTTGCCCCCCCCCCCCGTATCTCCGAAACTACTGGACGGATCCGGAAAAATTCAAACGGCGT